AGAGAAACCCTGTCTCGAAAAACCAAAAAGAAAAAAGAAAAAAAAAAAGAGTGCAGGGCTGGGTTATCTCCATGTCGATCAGACTCTGGGACTGTGTTCCACAGCCCTAAGCTTAACCAATCTCTGTATCTTTCTAAATTACTCAAGCTGTGGTGTTCAGTTACAGCAACAGAAATGGACCATGGCGCCTGGTGGTGGCGGCACACGCCTTTAATCCCAGCACTTGGGAGGCAGAGGCAGGCGGATCTCTGTGAGTTCGAGGCCAGCCTGGTCTATAAGAGCTAGTTCCAGGACAGGCTCCAAAGATACAGAGAAACCCTGTCTACAAACAAACAAACAAACAAACAAACAAAATGGACTAAGGCACAATTCCTGTTTCTCTCCTAGAAGTAGGAGTTTTCATAGATTGCTAAAGGCTCTAAGGACTGCAGTTAATAAACTTCAGAGCTATTTGACTTGATACATATATTTTGTATTTATTTATTTATTTATTTATTTATTTATTTATTTATTTATTTATTTTGTATACAATGTTCTGTCTGTGTGTATGCCTGCAGGCCAGCAGAGGGCACCAGACCCCATTACAGATGGTTGTGAGCCACCATGTGGATGCTGGGAATTGAACTCAGGACCTTTGGAAGAGCAGGCAGTGCTCTTAACCTCTGAGCCATCTCTCCAGTCCCCATATTATATATTTTGAAACAAAGTCTCACTATGTAATTCTGGCTGGCTTTGAAGTTACTATGTATTCCAGACTGGCCTCAAACATATAGATTCACCTGCCTCTGCCTTCTAAGTGATGGGATTAAAGGCATGAGCCACGTGCCTAGCTGCTTTGGAGATGGTCTAGCCAACCCCTGCCTTAGTCCCAGTGCTAGGATTACAAATATGTGTCACCACACCACCTTGAAAGAACAAGGAGCCCCTGCAGTTGAATCCATCAGGCCCTATGGCATTGGAACATGTTTTGTGCAATTTTTCAGACTCTCTTTTCTCTTTCCTGGGGGTTGTTGATCAAAACTGGGAGTGCACAGTGTGCTAAGCTGTGGACTGGCCTGCTTCACTATCTCAGCCTGTGCCTGAGCCTACAGCTGCATATGGCATCCGCAGGCCCAGCACAAGAGTGGGAATTTGTCGGGGACCAGCCTTGACAAAAACACCTCCTGCTGGGGTAGAGGCGTGGGGATTTATAAATATAGCAAAGAATATGAAGACACAAATGAAAATAATAAAACAGAGAAACATAGAATAGTATCAGGAGAGAATTCCAGTGTGTACTGAAATTCGCCTGTGTTTAATTTCCAATTTCTTAAAATATCCCTGACCCCAAAAGGTAGAAGTAAGACAAAAAAACTACATTAATATGGTACAAGTAAATGAACAGACCAGTTGAAGGTCGCAGACTACTACTTCCTAAGGTAACAAAACATTCTGTAGGCAAACCACTCCTTTGGTGGAATCCAAAGTTCTCTCTCTCTCTTTTAAGATTTATTTATTTTCTGTATATGAGTTTTCTTTTTTAATTTTTTTAAATATTTATTTATTTATTAGGTATACATTATTCTGTTTGCTTGTATGCCTGCAGGCCAGAAGAGGGCACCAGATCTCATTACAGATGGTTGTGAGCCACCATGTGGTTGCTGGGACTTGAACTCAGGACCTTTAGAAGAGCAGGCAATGCTCTTAACCACTGAGCCATCTCTCCACCCCTGTATATGAGTTTTCTATTTGTGTGCACGCCTTTATCCCAGGAGAGGGCATCAAATCCCACTAGAGATGGTTGTGAGCCACCATGTGGTTACTGGGAATTGAACTCAGGACCTCTGGAAGAGCAAGCAGTCAGTGCTTTCCGTCTTTCCAGCTCCCAAAGTTATCTCCTTAAGGGAACTGGAATTTAGCTGTGTCTTCAGACTTTTGTTTGGGGTAGAAATGTGTCTACTTCTCTATTCCTGAAATACAAGGTCTGGTTATTAGTCCCACCTGTTGACAATAACCTTGAGCGAGCAGAAGTCTCTGGCCTAAATCTAGGTGTGATCTTTATTTCAGGTAGAAACATAATAACCTTGACTAGGGGTAAGTTCCTACTCTCTGACCTTTGGTCAACAGAGAAATAGGCTCAGATTTTCAGGTCTCCACAGGAATTACACGGGCCAGGCACGGAAGGTGAGAGGCCTCCAGTATTCTGTGCCAAGACAGATTGGGAACTTGAGAAAGTTCTACGCGTGAGTGGAGACGACACTATTGTAAATTGAGTCCTCGCTCGCAAGCCAGCCAGAAGGAAGTGTGGAGGGGGCAGGGCATTCCCTGGTCGGGTGGAGGAACAGGTGGCTTGGGGCTAAAATCGTCAGAGGGAGAGATGGTGGCCCTGGCTTGAGTTGTGTCTCCAGATCTTGGTTTGGTGCGTCAGGGAAGGAGAGGGTGGTTGTACTCTGGAAAGGAGCACCCTGTACCCTAGTGCTGGGTGGCTGGATGTGTGTCCTGGGCACTCGCAGTGGAAGGTGAGACAAGACGCAATGGCATCCTTCCACCAGCAGAGAGCAGTGTTGGGTCTCAGGAGAGACACAATCCCGCATTCCTGAGATTATCCTGCCTGGAAACAAAGTTTCCCAGCCTCCATCCTACCGAGCCCGCAGCTTTCCCTACAGACTCTAGGGTTGTGCAGTCAAGGCGGAGCTGTGGGCCTCCGAGGGAGACGTGGCTGCTGGAAGGCCCTGCTCCACACCAGCCTTGCCTGCTACCACCATCTTGCTGTTCTTAGGACAGTGGCTATTTACAAAGCCAGCTCTCTGGGCTACTTTAACTTTGCTTGTTTGGGACCTTTCCCTCCCTCCCTCCCTTCTTCCCTCTTTTTCCTTAGAGGCAGGGCCTCCTACATTGCCTCGTTTCCACCCCCCTCCACCGCCCCTCCCCACACCTGGATACTTAGGAACTCTTACAAAGGAAGCCAGGCTGGCTTGCTGGCCGAGGGCCAGCCACGCTGCTGCACTTAGCTGCATTGACTGGATCCCAGCCACAGACACATTGGGCTCCATTTCTCACTCCACTTCAGAGGGAGTGACCATGGTGTCCATCCTCTTGTAATGAGCAGCCATGCCCATGCTTCCCAGGCTTCCTGGCGCTCAGAAACACAATCCACATTTTTATTTATTTTTTTGTGAGACAGGTCTCCTGTATACCAGGCTGGCCTTGAACCCTGTTTCCCCCTCCTGAGTTCTGGGATTCTATGTATTGTGTAATCATCTTTTTTTTTTTTTTAGTTTTTTTCTTTTTAAAGATTTATCTTTATTTTTGTGTGCATTGGTCTTTTACCTGCATATATGTCTGTGTATGGGTGCCAGATCCCTTGGATCTGAAGTTACAGACAGTTGTAAGCTGCTTTGCGTGTGCTGAGAATTGAATCCCAGTCCTCTGAAAGAGCAGACAGTGCTCTTAACCAGAGCCATCTCTCCAGCCCCTCATGTCTAGTTTTTGTGGTGCTGGGATCGAACCCAGAGTTTGTTTGTTTGTTTGTTTGTTTGTTTCTTTCTTTCTTTCTTTCTTTCTTTCTTTCTTTCTCTCCTCCTCCTCCTCCTCCTCCTCCTCCTCCTCCTCCTCCTCCTCCTCCTTCTTCTTCTTCTTCTTCTTCTTCTGTTTCTGGCGGTGGGGAGGGTTTTGAGGCAGGGTTTGTGTAACTGGAACTCACTTTGTACACCAGGCTGGCCTCGTGCTCAAGAGATCCACCTGCTCTGCCTTGAGTGCTGGGATTAAAGGTGTGCGCCATCGGGGTTCTTCGTGACTGGCAGGCACTATCAACTGACCTGCTGCATGCCCCCCAAACAGATATCATGACTCTTGGGGGGCTCAAGGGCTTGTGCTCCACTGCTGAGCTTGAGTCCCCAGCTCCCATCTACCAGCCCTTCCTTGCCCCCCATCAATTCTGTGTTGCTGGGGCTGGTCCTGAGCAAATCTCTCCTGAGTTCAGGAAATCCTGTCTCCATCCCCAAAGTAGTGGCAAGCAGGGCCAGGTATGAGTACCCGTTTATGTTCATCTCCTGGAGGGAGACCCACCATTTCTTGTATCCTAGACAGGATTTAAGCTCTTCATCGTCCTGCTTCAGCCTTCTGAGTAGCTGGGGTGGCGGTCTGCAGTACCTCCTAGTTTCTTCTCTTCCTTTCGACGTGTATTGGAAGGAGAATGGACTTTGAAGACGCTGCAAATGCGCAAGGTGATTTTAGGAGCTGCCGCCTCCACAGAAAAGGCTTCAGGGACAGTTGGACAGGACCAGGAGCACTTGTCAGCAACAAGTGGGTTAAGGACAGATGTGCTCATTCCGCCGGTCTCAGAGCAAAGCTCCGGGGCTCTGAGCCTTGGAACGGGGGGAGATCCGAGTAGATCTGCTTCCTGACAGCTGACAAAATTAATCTTGAACTCGCTGGGCTTCCTTGGTGCTTTATTAAGATTATCTAGGTTGTCGAGCCGCGCCGGGAGGTGGCGGTGTGGTTGCGCGCACGGGCCTGGCCGCGTCCAAGTTCAAGCTCTGGGTGGGGAGCCAGCTTCCCGTCGCCCTTTCGTTAATAACTTAAAGAGCCAGGCCGAGGTACAGGGGCGGGGGCGCGGCGGGACGCGGCCCGGGCTCTGCCTCTCGGCGCGGGAGGACCCCGACTCGGGTCTCAGTGCTGGGCTGGCCGTGCCCGGAAGCCAGAACTCGCCGCGTTCGGCCGCAGGGAAGGTCTCGGCCCGTGTGCCCTGGGTCGCCTCTAGGGTCCCACACTCCGGGCAACCACGCCGGGGGTGGGGGGCGCCACCGTTCTCAAAACCCCCAGCCCATTTCAGCTGCCCGGCGTGCGCGCGCCGCCTCCAGCCTCCTCCCCTGCCTCCTCCTTCCCCGGCCACTTTCTCCCCCCCCCCCCCCCTTCTCCCGGCCGTCCCCTCCCTCCTTCCCGCCCTCTCCCTCCTCCCCGCCGTCCCCTCCCTCGTCGTCCCTCTCGCCCCTCCTCCTCCCCTCCCTCCTCCTGCTCCCCTCCCCCTCCGCTCCCGCCACCTCCGCCCGCCGCCCCGGCCGCGTCGGGTAAACCTGTTCGGCAAGGCGGCCGCGCCGGGGCGGATCGAGCGGCCGGCGGCTCCTCGCGGCTCGCGGCGTCGGGGCCCGTGGAGCGCGCGGCCGGCCCTCGGCCGCGGCCCTCGGCGGCGCCACCATGTACTCGGGAGCCGGCCCCGGTGAGTCCGCGCGGCGCCCGGCGCTCGTGCCGCGGCCGTTGGCGGGGGGCGGGCGGGGCGGGCGGGGGCGACGGGGCGTGTGGGGCCGCGGGGTGGCCTCGGGGTGGCCGGGCAGGGCCTCGGGGCGGGGAGGCCCAGCTCACCCGAGCGGCGGGGCCGGGACGAGTGTGGGGGCCCAGGCTCGGCCTGCAGCGGGTGGCCGTCCTCCCGCAGCGCTCCTCCCGCCGGCCCCGAGCGTAGAGCTGCGGGGCCCAGTGCTTCGGCCCAGGGGCTGGGAGCTGGACGGGTCGGGAACCGAACCCCGGGGCCCCAGAGCCGCGTTCGGCCGCTCGGGCGCAGTTCCACGCCGGGCAGCCGCCCTCCCCATTCAAGTGTTAATCCCCCTGCGATTTCCTAGCTGAGCGGGTGGCCGCCGTGGCACCCCTTCCCACCAGCGTGCCCTTTTCTCTGGAAAAGTTCCAGAAAACTTAAAAACACCAACGGGGTTCCCCACCCCGCTTCCCCAGCGGAGTGGAGGGCCGTTTACTCGCGGGGCTGAGCAAACAGTCAAGTGTTGGGAGGCTTTTTCGCCTTCTCCCGCCAGGCACGTGGCTCCATTTCCCGGCTGCCCCGCCGCTTGCTCGGGCTCAGCCGGCCCCCTTTTGTCCGCCAGGCTGTACTTGGCGCCCGCGGGCCCTCCCTGCTGCCCACCTGACCTAGTGGTTTGGCCCCCCGGACCTCCCCAGACTTCCCCACTGTGGGGTCTGGGAACCTCCCAGATCTCCCCCGGTCCCCTGTGGTGCCTGTTCGGTGCCTAGTGCGCCTCCTCTCCTGATGTCAGGCTCCTCGAATGCCCACTGGCCAAGTTCTAAATGCATTATAGGGCTTCCAGCAATTTGAAGACCCGTTTAACCTTGCGCCTGGAGGTGACCAGGCCCTTGGGGGCAGTTGGTAGGGGTTTGGAGGCCGCCTTCGAAGTGGCCAGGGCAGCCTCCTGCCAGAGTGTGGGAATCCCCCAGCTCAGCGCTTTGGAGAAACCCAGAAAATCCTTAGCTCTGAGGCGGTGCGTTTTTCCAGAGTGTCAGTTTCTAGTGACTTCCTTGGGGACGAGGCCAGGCTTTCCTCTATTTTGCGTGTGGATCCTTTCAGCCTGTCACTGTGGGTCTTCATTCTAAAGACAGGCAGTGGAGGCTCAGAGAGGTTAAGAGCCCTGTAAACATCCTGGAGCCAGCAACCTGTTTGAACACTCCTGTGGAAGTGGCTCTCAGTCGCTTTGACCTTGACCCACCGTTGGAACTACCTGTTTGGTGCGGATTAGGCCAGAGGATTCCCAGATTGGGTGGAAATGAACATAATGTGTTCTGCAAGGGGCTGTTGCCTTTTAGAAAAGAATGCCGTAGCCCTCTGGATCAACCGGTTCGTTTTGGTCACTGGCAGCTTTGAAGATGGCTGCTGTTACTGCGTGGGGATCTGCACGGTGGCCTGAGGGAGAGACAGTCCCCTCTAACCAGAAAGCCTTGGGCGAGAAAAGAGAAGCCTGTAGGATAGTTCTTGGCTAATGGCAGGCTGGGAAGGAACCCAAGTTCCAGGTGGGCCACTGTGCCGTAATTGCAAGGCTGGAGCGCAGCTCCATTTTATTCTACATACCATGGCTTTTAATTTTGCTTAATAGAACCCCCAATACAATCTCATCAATGAGACTCAACCATATTCCCAAATTTAGGAGAATGGAAGGCAATTGGACCTGAATTCTAGGAAAGTTAGCGTTTTCCTGTTCCCCGGCTTGCTGGGAAGTAAATACTTAGTAAATTAACTGTAAAAATAGAATTCCCAATGGGTTTTTACAGTGCCTGTTACAAATACTGTTACAGGTGTGAAGTTAGTGTCAGGGCCAAGGCTCATAATTTGACAGGTTTGGGTTTGTTTTGTTTTTCCTTCCTGAACTATTGGGAGGGGAACTGTCTGGAAGCAGCTCTGTCTCCGGCTTTATAGCCCAGGAGGATTTGCTACAAAGTAACCTCTGATGGTGAAAACTGGGTTGAGAATTGCCAGTCAAGACTGACTTTGAGCAACCGTGCATGCACGCACTGTGGTCTCTAATGCCAGCAGTTGGCCCTGCTCCCCGAATTCTCCCCGACTCCCAGTTGTGTTTGAGGGTACCACTGCAGCTTGGCGGCCTCTGTGCTGAGTGCTGCCAAGGGCTGGAATTTACATTTGTGGGAAATCTCCCCCAAGTAGCCTGTGGAAGAATTTAAATAGGGGGGATGTGTCGTGTAAAAGTTCTTGGCTTACACATTCTTAAGAAGCAACATTTTGTAACACCGTTGGGTTTATTCTTTACAGTTCTAGAGACTGGGCTGCCAGTATGGCTAAAATGTTTCTTTTTTTTTTTTTAACATGAATTGTTGTAGGAAATGTAACACATGATTTTAAAAAAGTTTCTACTGTGAAGTAAATTTACAATCATGAAAGCAGGGTGTCTAAAGATGTGATTTCTGCCTATCCATCCTTCCCTTGCTGCTGTCAGGGGTCATGGCTTACCAACTGCCTCTTCCCCATTCCTATCCTGAAGCAGACTCCACACCTGCCATTTCACCGTGGCATATTTGTGTGCACGGAATATAGGGGTTTTTTTTCCCTCTTGTCCTTCAGAAACAGGGTGGCCTGTATGGCCCAGACTGGTCTCAAACTCCTCCTCCTGCCTCTGCTTACAGAGTCCTGGGATCACAGGCTTATGTCACCACACAGAGCTGGTTCAGGTACATGTAAACACGGCCCACTGTCATTGTCACACCAGGTGTTGGCCCTTCCTTGGCTTTAGAACGATAATTACAGTGGGTTTGCATTTCCCCCCACCCCTGACAGTAGCTTTTTAAAACTTATTTTTACTTACTTGTATGTATTAGTGTTTGTCTGCATGTATAAATTTGTACCACATGCGTGCCTGGTGGCCCCAGAGGCAAGAAGAGGGCTTCAGAGAATTGGAGTCACTGCCAGTTGTGAGCCTCCATGTGGATGCTGGGAACTAAGCCTGGGTCCTTCAAGAGCAACAAGTGTTTTTGACTGCTGAGCCATCGCTCCAGCCCCTACAGTTGATGTAAGAATATGGAGTTAATGGAAGAACAAGGGAATTTGAGTTTCTGTCTTCTAAATCTTTCTTGGTGGTATTTTGTTTTTTTTGAAACAGGGTTTTACCATGTGGCCCAGGCTGGCTTTGAACTCGTTTACGCTCCCTTGTGGGAGAGCCCCAGATGTGTGCCATCATATCAGTTTTTCAGCAGAGCCTTGAAGACGAGGCTTCCACCCGCTTTGTCTGCATTTTCAGCTTCTTATTGTCACCGAAGGTCTTAAAAATCTCCGAGAAGGCATCTCCCTTGCAGTCTCCCCTGGTTCAGTCCTTAAAACTACCTGCCTGGCCTTCAGACTCCTCTTGCCTGCTTCCCTGTTCTATGAGGGGCTTATAGAACAGGAAAATTCCTGCTTGAGTGCATTCTGACTTCCTCATCCTGAGAATGTTTTTGCATGGGCCTGTTTCTCCATGGTCCACTTTCAGCACAGGTAATTCAACACATAGAAAATCAGGATGGCCTTCATAACTTAGAGCCCCAAGGTAGGTTTCTCCTCCCCAGTTTTGGGCTCAGGTGTGAGGTGAGGAGACATACTGTCTTCTGCATCCCTCTCCCATAACTTGCTCCAGCTCTCCTGTGTACCCTGCAGCTTCACCCACCAGCATCCGGATCTCATGGGCAGTGAGGCTCTGCTGGCCCGGCCCCAGCCTTTTCACTCTGGCTGGGTAAAGTGAAGCTCTTGTGGGCATGAAATAGCATCAGGAGCCAGGTGGTGGTGGTGCACACCTTTAATCCCAGCGCTCAGGAACTCACAGGTAGAACTCTTGTGAGTTCAGGGCCAGCCTGGTCTACAGAGCGAGTTCCAGTACAGGTTCCAAAACTACAGAGAAACCCTTTCTTTAAAAAAAAAAGAAAAAAAAAAAAATAGAAGGCCTGGAGAGCAGGGGCCTCGGAAGTTTCCCCGTCTGTGGCCAGGTGTGGTGGTGATCCCAGATAATCAGAGGTAAGAAGCTGGCCTGGTTTCATAGCATCAGGAGCCAGGTGGTGGTGGTGCACACCTTTAATCCCAGCGCTCAGGAACTCACAGGTAGAACTCTTGTGAGTTCAGGGCCAGCCTGGTCTACAGAGCGAGTTCCAGTACAGGTTCCAAAACTACAGAGAAACCCTTTCTTTAAAAAAAAAAAAAAAAAAAAAAAGCCGGGTGGTGGCACATGCCTTTAATCCTAGCACTCGGCAGACAGAGGTAGACAGATCTGAGTTTGAGGCCAGCCTGGTCTACAAGAGCTAGCGTTCAGGACAATCTTCCCCCTTCCCAAAACAAAACAAGAGTATCAAGCTAAACTAATTTCCCTCTTTCACATCTAAAGCTGAAGAACCTGAAATCCCCCCCCCCCTTTTTTTTTTCTCTTTGTGACCAAACCATTGTGCCCTCCAGTCAGGTTTTCAGTAGAGCTATTCAGGGTTCATCTAAGCTAGGAGCTTTCTGCAGTCAAGTGAGGTACCAGGACAACGGGCAGACCTGGGGCCATCGTCCCTAAGTCAGGAGCACAGGCCTGAGTGTGTGCACTCGCCTCACCCAGCGTATCTGGGGTCCTCAGGGTGCCTGAAGGGACAATGTGGTGTCCCTGAGATGTGGTGTACCAAGATATGCCACTGCAGCCCCCCCCCCCCCCGGCAGGGGGCCCACCCAGTGTGTGAGAGGCATCCAGGCCCTCTGCTGTCTGCCAAGAACACAGTGCCTCTGGCTGGCTCTTGGGAGACTCAACCAGCATCTGGGAACTCCATTCTTGGTCTTCCCATACTGTCTGCAGGGGCGGTGGTCAGATGAACATGGTTTCCACTTCAGTACTGTCCTCCTAGGCATGTTTGGAGAGTTTGACATCCGTGTGGGTCTCAGTTTTGCTGTCTGGAGCATGTGAGATGTTGTCCAGGCTGCTCACCCTCTCTGTACCT